GCTGTAAGACCTGTCATGTTAATAGAGGAAACAATAGAACCAATTATTATTTCTGTGAGAAATGAAGAAACTGATGATTATGATGATGCCTCCTTATCGGAAGAAAACAACTTGTGTAACTTAGATATGTAATTATATATTTATATTAATAAATTATAAGTTTATATGACGCTAGTACCAGAAATATGTTTATTATTAAATTGTAAAGAAATGTACTAAACCAATATATTTGTAAAAATTAATGTGGGTACATAATATTGATATTTTAGTTTTTTTTATATTAAAGTAATTTTATGTTCTCCGTCACTGAGGCATTCAGTTATTGCTTAATACCTTAGGGTTTGTTCATTTGCTATAAAATTGCTTTAATCATTTTCAAATGTACTGTAAACGAAAATCACACCGTTTCAAAGGTATGAATAGATAGAAATCATACAAGTTCTCGACAAGCCTTTCTAGAATGATATTCTACTTGTTTAAATGCTCCGCAAGAAAGAGTCGAATATTAATAATCACGCATATTGGTAGCGAACATGGTTTTGTGGAGAATGTTTCATTTGAGTTCGTTTCAAAATCCACCAAAGATTACCACGAGGAAATGCACTCCGATGTTTTTGAGAATTACTTTTCTCAGGTGTTGAATTGTCTACCAAATAACATTCGTTGTTTTCGATAACGCCAGTTATCACTCAAAATTAGTGGAAAAGTTACCGATAGTCTCATGGAAAAAAAGTAGATAGAATTGACGGGTTCCAACACAAAAAATACCATATTACTAGACTAGGCTTAAAACTGAATTATTACTAATTGCAAGGCAACATAAATCGTACTTTAAAAATATTTCATTGACGAAATGACAAAAACAAAAGGAATAACAGTATTGCGCGTAAGACCTTATCATAATCAATTAGATCCAGTGGAGTTAATATTGCCTCTCTCTCTATCAATGAGAACATTGATAGAGAAGGCAAAAGAATACCGACTACCCGTATTTCTTGCCTTCGTCGACTATGAAAAGGCGTTTGATAGTATCGAGATGTGGGCCATAGAACAAGCTATTAATAATTGTAGAATAGACTCGAGATATAGGCAACTAATACATAACATATATGAAAATGCAACTATGATAGTACAACTAGACGAAAATACAAATCCCATCCCCATTAAGAGAGGAGTGAGACAAGGAGACGTAATATCGCCAAAGCTTCTCAACCTAGCCCTAGAAGACGTCTTCAAAACTACAAATTGGTCAACCTATGGCATTAACGTTAATAGCAACAAGTTAAACCACCTCAGATTCGCTGACGACATAGTGATTATAGCGAGCACATTCGAGGAACTGCAAATTATGTTGGGGAAACTAGTAGCCAGCTCCGAATACGTCGGCCTAAAAAATGAATATGAAAAAAACAAAAATAATGACAAACACAGAAGACCCCAGACATATAACTATAAACGGCAGTGAGATAGAACAAATCCAGGAATATATCTACCTAGGTCAAATCCTGAGACTTGACAAAGGGAACCAAAGTGCGGAAATTACTAGAAGAGCAAGACTAGCATGGGCAGGATTTGGAAACCTTAGTAATGCAGAGCAATGTTAGGTATACGACTGTCAGATAAAAAGAGGAACGACTGGGTAAGATCCAAAACAAAAGTCGAGGACATAACAATAAAAATTGCAAAACTCAAATGGAGCTTCGCGGGCCACACTGCTAGACAGAAAGACCAACGTTTAGAATACTACAATACAACATTGGAGACCTTACGAAAGTAAACGACCAAGAGGAAGACCACAGATGAGATGGGTTGATGACAGAAGAATAGCCGGAACAAATTGGAAATATGTTTATTGGATAGAGACCGATGGAAGGAGTTGGAGAGGCCTATGTCCAAACATGGACGACAGAATGCTAAGAAGAAGAAGAGTTAATATTGGCTTAAGTCAAAGGTGAACTGGTCAGACAAAATACAACTTTAAATTCAAATACCTTTTATTAAACTCCATAAAAAACGTAACGAAAGATAACTGGAAAATCCATGTAAACCACGTAAAAAAAGGGGAAGAAAAATTGTGTACTGTTGATAATAACATTGAAGAACTTTGTCAGTCTATAATCGTTTCACTCGCGCCGGACAATGAATCTAACGCTGAAAATCAGGAAGACATGAAAATCCATAATTTATAAGTAAATCAGTAAGTTTTTAATGTATTCACATTACTTAAATGTTAGATATCAATACGATATATCTGAATTAACATTTATTTGATTTAATACAAGGTGGTCCAGAATTATGTACATTAATTTCTAGAGCTGATAGTACGTCCAAAAATAAGGGTACTTCTTTATGTACACTTTTTTATAAAACTGAATAATAAGGGAGATACAACCCTTTAAAGGGGTGAATTGAAATTCTTATTTTTTCAAATATCTTCCAAACGGTTTTGAATACGGAGTTCATATTTTGGGAGTGATTATAAGACATTAGGATAATTAATTTCATGTCACCACCTACCACATCCTATATTAATACAGGGTAGTTTTGGAGGGTAAGTGGGGGTTATTGCGTCACATGTTTTTTAATTTTTACATATTTTAAAAAAATATTTTAAAAATTGTTTCCTTAGACTTTTCTACGCAAAAAAGGTGCTCTTGTAATATTTCGATAGATATCACCGTTTTCGATTTATTTAAACTCGAAGGTATACATGTATTTTATTGTAATCGTTACATTTCTTAATATTCATCAAGTATGCTTTGGAATTGACACTTGTGTTAGCAATAATATTACAAATTAATGGAAAACTTAATTAATACTTAATATTTAATTAAAGGCGAAAATAATATTTCACAACAACTGTTCAAAATGTCCTCCATTTTGTTGAATACATAATCTAATTCTTTTATTTACCGAACGCATTAATCCATTTAATGTTACTGGATCGTTTTGTAAATCGGTAAATACTTGTTCAATTTTGTCTCTTAACTCATTTACTGTATTAATTGGAGTGTTATACACTTTTGATTTCAAATAACTCCATACTGTAAAATCCATTGGATTAAGATCATAACTACGAGCAGGCCAATGAATCGGTGCATCCGCACCCCGGCCTATCCACCTATCAGGGAAATGTTCATGTAACCACCTTCTACAAATAAAATATTGTCTAGAAAATTGTAATACATGTTACCATTTAAGTTTCCGGGAAAGATGTGGTATCCTATGAAACTATTTCCTAAAGTAGCTGCCCAAACGTTTATCTTGAACGTGTGTTGGAAGTGAGTTTCCATTGGAGCCCTTGGATTTTCTTCAGCCCAGAAGTGCATATTTCTAGAATTGAACATACCTTGTCTTGTAAATGTGGCCTCGTCTGTAAACAGAATGTTGCTTAAAAAATTTGGTGCAGTTTGAACTTTATTTTGCAATACTTCACAAAAATCAACTCTACGTGGCATATCGTCAGGTAACAATTCCTGCACCTGTCGATAGTGGTAAGGATGTAATTGCTCTTCATGCAGAACTCTTAAAACACTTTGATGGGAAATATTCGTTCTTAATCCTAACCTGCGTGTACTTATTGTGGGGTCATTTATTACAGCATCCAATATTTGCTGTTCAACGCGAACATTTCTTGCTTCTCTACGACGACCAGCATCTGTATTCCTTCTTTGAAGACAACCGGTTTCTCTCAGTCGTCGTTCAGTACTTACAAAAGTCCTGGCATTGGGAATATTTCTGTTCGGATACTTTTCTCTGTAGCGTCTTACAGCGGCAGTAGCATTTCCCGAACATTCCCCTAATACTAAAAGTATGTCTGTCATCTCACAATTTGAATAGTGTGCCATATTGCGGGCAAACAAATTTAAAAATATAGCAAAAGAGACGTGTTAACCAAATTTCACTGTCGAGTACAATAAAAGTGTAGATAAAATAATTTAATTGTTATTAAACGTCACTGACAATTCATAGACTACTTGAGATTAAAGTGTTGTTGCTAACACAAGTGTCAATTCCAAAGCATACTTGATGAATATTAAGAAATGTAACGATTACAATAAAATACATGTATACCTTCGAGTTTAAATAAATCGAAAACGGTGATATCTATCGAAATATTACAAGAGCACCTTTTTTGCGTAGAAAAGTCTAAGGAAACAATTTTTAAAATATTTTTTTAAAATATGTAAAAATTAAAAAACATGTGACGCAATAACCCCCACTTACCCTCCAAAACTACCCTGTATTAATATAGGATGTGGTAGGTGGTGACATGAAATTAATTATCCTAATGTCTTATAATCACTCCCAAAATATGAACTCCGTATTCAAAACCGTTTGGAAGATATTTGAAAAAATAAGAATTTCAATTCACCCCTTTAAAGGGTTGTATCTCCCTTATTATTCAGTTTTATAAAAAAAGTGTACATAAAGAAGTACCCTTATTTTTGGACGTACTATGAGCTCTAGAAATTAATGTACATAATTCTGGACTACCTTGTATATAAATCTGTTCCTTTTTGATTCTCCAACACTGACCCATGATTTTCATACCTTTTAGGCATATAATCCATTGGCTTGTATTGTTATTTCTATGTGAACAGGGTGAACTCTTTGAAAAATCATATCTAAAATTACAGTTCAATAGGGGAGGATATTATTTTGAGTGATTTCAGTTTGACCACGTTACCTGCTGTTTGCAGATTAGTGAAGATTTGCATTTGTAATGAAATCTTTCATTTTAGTGTAATCAATAGAAATTTAAATATGAAAATATGAACAAAAAGACTAAATTGATAATATATGAGTCAATAATGAATCCAGTAATAACATATAAAAGAGAAGCAAAGACATTGACAATAGAGGAAGAACAGCTTCAAATTTGGTGAAGAAAAGTTGAAAGAACCATAAATTTATTGTGTGTTATAGAATGTTTTGTGTTGTGTTTGGATATATGTGCACATGTTTGCAAATTTTAATATAAAAGATTAAAAACGTACCTGCTTCGTCAAAAATTGGCACCATAAACTGCATAATAACAGTAACTCCAGATAAATGTTGAACCCATAAAGGTAATATGGCCAGTATTATTGCTTTTCGATATATTTTTGATTTTAGCAATGCTAGTGCGGAAACTGTGCCAATTTTACGTTTAGTTTTGTAATTATCATTTATTTTTTCAAAGTCTCTTTCAATTTCCTGTGGTTGTTTATTTCTTCGTAGTTTTTCTAATACTTTTAAAGCTATTTTTATCTTTCCTTTGGCAATCAAGTACACTGGTGTTTCTGGGACAAACAGTAAGACGGCTATTAAGAAGAGTACTAGTGGTGCTGCACAAAGTAGTGTATACACCGGTATATTTGTCCTAGCTCCTGCGACATAACTGTAAAGATGCCCCGCAGGCAGACTTACACCCATTAAACAACCAAATTTTGCTCGGTTATGATCTTCGCAAACCTCTGTAAGGTATAATGGTACTAAAACTAGTGCCGTTGAAAAACAGACGAAAATAATACATCTAGCTACTATGTATACATAAATATCTTTGCTGGCTGATATGGTTAAGCTACACATTATGACTGTTATTGCTGCGTATAGCATAACGCTCTTTCTACCAACGATATCAGCTATGGTACCTGCAAAAATTGATCCAATCAAACCAATCAAGAATGGAAATCCTGCTAGTAAAGAAACTTCCAAGGTACTTATGGGTCTGCCTATTGGATTGACTAATGTATCATTGGATAATAATTTGGGAAGCGCTGGCGATGTCCAAACATGGAAATTTGAACAGGAGAATAATAAGAGGTTTGCTAAAAAATAGATAAAAATATTAGTATAAGAATTATATTAAATTGAAAAATACAAAAAATCTTTATTTAACTCTGTGACAAAATGGCGTTTATTTTACGTTATTCTAAAATGCTAGTCGTGAAGCTCTTATTTATATATACTTCATCTAATTTACATACGATGCGCGTCATCGGCGTCATAGCCCGTGACGTCACATGATACTAACACGAAATATTTAGGCAATAGGTGTGTTCTTTTTTAGAATAACTTTGCCGAGTACACTGGCATTACAGCCACTAGACATATTTTATTATATACGCGTAGAAATAATATTTAAAGATTTATAATGGTAATTTAAAGAAATACACAATAACATGTTTCATTTAATTTGAATAAATGCATTATAATATACTTATTTGACAGTTGAGGTTTTGACACTTTTTTTATTTTATTATTTTAAATATTAAAGTAAATACCTTTTGTTTTATATTTTTACCTATTTAATAAAATCTGTTCTTTTTAGAACAAAATTAGTGTATTTTATTTCAAAAATTTCACGTAAGAATTTAAATAGTCGTTGTAAAGAGATGGTAATACTTTTGCAATAATTATGTGAACTATTTGATTTAAAATGGATTTAGGATTTTTTTATACTTTGGCAACTATGTCAAGTTCGATCTCTGATGTAGATAATGACGTGCAACGGTATGTAAATTAGATGAAGTATACGTCAATATGTCTATCAAATATTAAATTCGCAGTAAGAGACACTTTTCACGCTACAGTTCGTCTAAAAGAACTAATAAGCACACCTCTACTTTACTTACATACAAAACGGGCAACGGATAGGAGGGTAATATAATTTACGGGTAGAGGGAAGGAACTATTTATGTGCATTTATGGTGAATCATTCACTTCATATTCAATTTTTCTCTCGTTTCCTTTTAAAAATTCCCCAAGGATTTGGTTCATTTTATGATTGAGTTGAAAAATATATAAGAGGCAAATATCACAATTACAATGTTCTGTTTCGTTTATATTTAGTCTATAAGCTACCCTTTAATAGAAAAAGTTAACCTTAAAATATTAAATAAAACTGTAACTTAGCAGATGCAGTCTATCTGTGAAACAATCATTGATTTAATGGTAGCTGATGAAATATTCGTGAAGACGTACTACAGCTGATTTTGCTTTGTTTTTTTTAACAATCTTAAAAAGTAAGAAAAATATGTTTTGTCTATAAAAAGTTTTTTACACATTTTAGAGAAAAGTGGTTTAAATAAAAATTGTAGATCATAAAAAGTTCTTTAATTTTGAGAGTTTTCACATTAAAATACATAAACAATTGATCGAGATAATTGCAAAAAACCATTATTTTCGCAGTAATTTCATGTGTGCGCAATGAGTGCAGTTAAAATACCAGATACTACTTACAGTAAATAATCAGATCTCTCCGATAAAGATGGTACAAATGAGATGATATTGTGTCAAGACAGTGACATAAGGGGCATGAAGATTTACCAAGCAATGTCAAGGAAACTGTATCCTGTCACATCCTCAGATTTCTCAGATGCTATCCCTTTGCCTGAAAGACTGCGATATAAAAGGAAGATCAGAAAATGATACAAAATTTACTAGATACTATAAAAAAATAAAACTAGTATAGAACAATTTATAGGAATTACTATTTACATGTCGATAATTTAACATCCATCAACAAGACACTATTATAATGCCAATATTGGTCATCCAGCAGTTAGTGATGTGATGAGCTCTAACAGAATCGAATAAATAAAACACTTCTTGCATTTCAATACCAATGATGACATGATTAAGAATGATCAGCCTAGGCATGACAGATTATTCAAAATCACACCTGTTCTAAAACAAATCGAAGAACAGCTATTCATGGTTCTGAAAGCAGAATTTCTAGCTGTAGACGAACATATTATATCAACAAAAGCGCAACGGCAGTTAAAGCAATATAACCAAAAAAAAAACACATAAGTATGGCTTAAAAACTTTGTGCTGAGTGCTATTTTGGGATTCAGCTATATCTTTGATTTGTTTGCTGGTTCCCAAAGTAATATTGTACCTCCAGAAGCACTAAATCTTAGAATAAGCAGCAATGTAGTTGTCAAATTAACAGATTCGACACCAAAACATCAACATTACAAGTTTTATTTTGACAATTGGTTCACCAGCATACCTCTTATGCTATATCTGACCAAAGAGAGCATTTTACCTTTGTGAACACTAAGACTAAATCATGTTTCTGGACTTGTGATGCCAGCTAAGAAAGAAATGAAGAAGCGCGACAGAGGTCATATGGCAGAGAAAATAGCCAATATAGATGAGCTGGATGTTAGTGTAGTATCCTGGTTTGATAATAAAATCGTTACTACAATGTCAAGATATACTGGAAGTGAACCAAAGTGAGAAAACGGAAGATTTTTCAAACAAGAAAGTACACATAAAATGATAAATTGTCCTAACAGTGTCCTTATTACACAACTACATGGAGGTGTAGAACTCCTTGATTCCAGGATAGGATTTTATCGTACAAAATCAGGTCAAAAAGTATTATTTACGAATATTTTTTCATTTCATTGATATGAGCCGTGAACTGTTGGTTATTAGCCAGAATAGAGAAGAACTTTGATTTATCCCTTTTGGATATTAAACTGGCAATAGCCTATGCTCTATGCAAAGTGGGAAAACCAACTAAACAGAATAGATTAGGAAGACTGGGATCAGACCGCTAGGTCAAGATGCAAATTTCCAGGTTGTACATAGAAAACATATATAATGGGCACAAAATGCACAATACCTCTGTGTCTTAATAAAGAAAGGAATCGAACAATAAAACACTGAAAAATTTGTTTTCAAACTTTTACAAAATTTATTTTAAATCTTATCTCTACAGCTGTTTCGGCTAATTGCCTTTCTCAAGTGATCTATTTTAGGCTTGGGTTTACAAATTTATAGTCTCTAATGAAATAGGTTGAGGAGGGGAGAACTGTTTTGTCTCAAGTTGGTCATTCAGAATTATACTCTTTCATTAAACTACACAAACCGGATCACCCAATAAGACCTGTAGTTTCTTTTTATACGGCTCCGTCATATAAACTTTCAAAAAAACTGTTAGAGATTATTTTAGAACACACTAAATTTTCACCTAAATTTACCATAAAAAATACAATAGAACTAGTTAATAAAATACAACATTTTCAATTACCTAACAACTCCAGATTAATTTCATTTGACGTTAAAAATCTTTTTCCTAGTATCCTTCCTACAGAAACTTTTATTCTAGTAAAAAACCTTTTAGACCAAAATAGTACAAATCCAATAATTAAATCTGAAATTTTACATCTTCTTGAAGTTTGCATATACCAGGACTACTTTGAATTTAATAATAAAATATATACAAATAACAGTGCAGGACTTATAATGGGCAATCCTCTAAGCCCATTGCTATCAGATATTTTTATGGATCATCTAGAGACAAATATTTCAAAACATCCCGTATTAAAACAGTTTTTATATTGGTGGAGATACGTAGACGACGTACTGGTATGTTTCACAGGAACTAACAGGCAACTCGACCAATTTTTATCTTATATTAATTCACTTCCTAGTCATATTGAATTTACAATAGAAACAGAACAAAATCAATCCATAAATTTTTTAGATTTAAAAATTAGCAGACTTCAAAACAAACATGACTTCTCCATATTTCATAAATCTACCCATACTGACACGACTATACACAATTCATCATCCCATCGAACACAACATAAACTGGCAGCTTATCATAGTATGTTACATAGATTAACAGAAATTCCGATGTCAAAATACAACTTTGAGACGGAATTAAATATAATTAAGCAAATAGCAGTAAACAACGGATACAACGAACAAACAATTAATAAAATGTTAAATCAAAAACTACACAAGAAAGCCCTGAAATTAGTATTTCCACCACCAGAGAAAAAACCCAGTACCTTCTGCTCGATTACATATATACAGGCAAAATAACAACAAAAATTGCCAAACACATAAAAAAGAAAGGAATAACACCAGCTTTCCGAACAAATAAAAACCTAGGCAAATATATTAAAAATAACAAGAGCAAAAATAAAAAACACTTAAACAGTGGTGTGTACAAACTTCAATGTGGCGACTGCCCAAAAACTTACATCGGTCAAACTGGTAGAAACTTTGATAAACGAATAGCAGAATATAAAAGGGCTTTCAAAAATAGAAAAACAGATCCGACATACGCACTTCACCTTCTAGATCATAATCAATCTTTTAATGACAAATTTAAAATTCTTCACATTCAAATTAAAGGCCTTAAGCTATCTTTGTTAGAATCTATGGAAATCAACAAATTAAAAAACACAGATATAATTCTGAATGACCAACTTGAGACAAACAATTCTCCCCTCCTCAACCTATTTCATTAGAGACTATAAATTTGTAAACCCAAGCCAAAAATAGATGACTTGAGAAAGGCAACTAACTGAAACAGCATAAGTGATAAGATTTAAAATAAATTTTGTTGGAAGTTTGAAAACAAAGTTTTCAGTGTTTTATTGTTACATAAAATGAATTTCCATCAAGTAACGGTCGAATCCATCAATAAGAAAGGAATTGTTATTTGCAGTTTAATATTGCATAGTGTATACTGTAGCTTTAAACTAGTTTGACTTTAATATTATATTGTTGCATGATGTTCCAAATTTGGAACAAAGTTCCAATTTTTAATATTTTTTTTGACAAAAAACAAAAATTTATTCTGGAAAGGATTAATAAAAAACAAAATAAAACTAAATGTACGTCTTCTTGAAATTGTCATCAGCTACCAATCATATACTTTTTAGAACCTTTAAATACTTGTATAAGATTTTTCAGCTTTGTTTCTTCATTGGCTGAGGTACTAGGCCAAATTCTTTTCTTGCACATGCAGTATGAGTATTAAGTTGGGAAACATTCCGCATATACCTGATGCTTTCAAATTTCTTGTGTTGACATCTTCATTGTAAAGGTATATTTAGAAAAGTGCCATATATAATAAATATCAGGTTTGGAATTTTCGAAATTTTGATTACACAGGGGTATTGTCATTCAAATTTATGTCAAACAACGCATGTAATTATAAAAAAATAATGTAACTTGTATGTATATTTATGCTTTTGTAATAAAGATGGATGCGAAAACATCCTCAAATAAATTAAACTTCATTTTTGTAAAAATTCAATTTTTTTTTCGTTATATTATCTTTACAATGTCAATAAAGAGCAAAAAATAAAAGTAAAAAGAATTTTAACCAAAATGTAGAGTCAAATAAAAAGCTGCTAGAACGTTTCAGCCTAAAAGACGTACCTACTCGGCAGCTAGGACACACCGTATTATAAACCCATAATTAATAATTAAACAAATAAGGTTTTAAAATTAAATAAACCGAAAACCGGGCCTTGCCGTGGAACGTTTGAACTTGCATTTAGATTCTCGCTGATTTCAAAAGAATTATTTTTATCTATATTCGAATGCCTTGATAATAATTTTTGCAATTTTTCGATTAAGATTCGACCTCAAACTACAACTCAAGCCGGAAATTTGAAAACGGCTATTTTAAGAGAAATATTACTCGAGACCCATTTTGTTCAGAATAAGCCAGACCATATAAAAAAGTGTCCAAGAAATGTTCGAGAATATCCGAAAAAGGTTGATTTTTGAAAGTTGTATAAACAAATTCTGACCCCTTTTTTTACGAACAACATCTTTGTTTATTCAAGGGTTTATCATGAATGCGATTGCGAATATTTTTCCCAACGATGCCGAGATTTTCGCCTTGTCTAAATGAGACTGGACTGTAACAACGCAACTATAAATTTAGATTTAACGATCCTTCCCCAGTGCTTCAATTACGAAGTGATCCTGCAGCTTTTGTAGTGCTTTAATAGCTTTCTATTATAAGTTGAAGAAAAGTGCAAACAAGTTTAATTTGAAACCAATAAATCAATAAAATTGATGGCTTAAACATCAACGAAATTCTTTTATGCGTAGTTAACACTTATACAGTAGCATTTTAACCCATTTTTATGATCTATTAAACAACAGTATCACATTACAAAAGGGCGATGGCATTATTTCCTTATTATTTTAAATGTAAGTCTATGGAAAGAAAAAAGCTATTATTATTTGATTGACAATATTTTTGATTATATATTTGTTTAATAGTACTATTCGATGAAGAATTGATGTAGATAGTACTGTACATAATATATGAACTGTGTTTTAATTAAATAACAGCATATAAGAGATGCTGATGCTGAGTCGATATGTGTTGCTAAATTCACTGTATCATTAACACATGTTGCAAAGGTTATTAAGTCGTGTTGTCTGCAGTGGAGAAAAGATACATCTGTTCCTTCAGGAACATCTGACTTTATTGAATGTAGTTTTATAGCCTCAGTCCCATATTTTATTTGGAAGTGCCTACCTGTCACATACGATTTTAATAGCTAAGAGTATATATAGGGAGGTAATAAGTGACTAGCAATCCTTTATGCCGTACCTTGTCGAGGGTCTGGAAAACATCAAGAAAGGCTGTCTTTTACCATTGAGGTACTTATTGAGTTGATTTGCCATTAAAATGATTTAATTTACAGAAGGAAAGGCAGATACTTATAGACGAAACTTCATATGAATAAGACAGAAGAGGATACAGCCAATCAGCTACCTTTTACTTTTGGCTAAGAAACAGAAGAGCACCCAATACTACATAAAGAGGGAAGGCAGTAGAGAGAGATGTGCAAGGGCTACAAACTGCAATAGCCGAAAGCTAATCCTAGATCGCTAATTTGGGTTCCATAAAAAACATAGGACAATTGAGCAAGTGCATAGAGTGGCAAATCAACTTGACCAACAACAGAGATGAAAATACTCTGACGAGTATCAGGGAAAAGTCTGTTGGATAGGGAGAGAAGCGAAAACATAAGAATATAGAAGACACAAATGGATGGGTGACAAAACGAAAACAGGAATGGAACGAACACATCAGTATAATGGCAGAGGCTAGAATAGTACGAATAGCACAAGATATGTCACCAAATGGACGAAGAAGTATCGGTAGACCAAGAAAAATATGGTGCGACAATTCAAACAAACCAATTTAGGAGGCTAGTATTGAAGAAGAAACAGGCTTTAAAGCCTACATACAAGAAGGAAGAAGAAGAGGAGGAAGAAGAAGAGTTAAAAATAAACGGGAAAATGTTATCATTGGTTATATCAATTTGGTGTGAAAGTATCTTTACATTCGTAAAAAGCATATTGTTGACCAACTTTGCAAAAAAAAAACATAAGTTGTTGATCTATAATAATTTTAAATTTTAATTTTAAACTTTTAAAGGCTTGTGTATCAATAATGATAAAAGCTATCATACATGCTTATAGTATAGAAAATTTTAGTCGTAAATGCCGAATTATCCACAAAAACGTTTCAATTTACCGTCGAAACACCCTATCTATTAAATATCGTAATAAAGGTCTAAAATTAATTTATATATTAACTATTTTTATTAGTATAATCACCACACTTTCAAATTCAGAGCAAACTAAACTTGAGTACCACCTGATCCTCTTTCTGAAAATTTATATAATGTAACAATGATGCGATTCTGTTTTACACAAGTTTTACAAATTTCCTATAATTCATGTTTGTACCTTTTTGCAAAAAAATTTTCGTCTTAAAAATAGTTTACTTAATATTAACTTACCTGTAAGGGTAGAAAAATATAGAAAGGGGGTATCCGGTTTCTTTCTTGCATCCTGAACTTTGTTGTCTACCGGCGCACGATTAGAATTATTAACTAATACTTCCAAGGTATTGTTGCGACTGTTATTGTCAAGGGAATCAACCATTTTCTCTAATCACTAAGTTCCAACTGAACTACAATAAATAAATCTTGCAATATTTTATACATATGCAGATATATATCTAACAACACAGTGTCGTTCTTGAATATTTACTCATTGATGTTTGATTTGAGTTCGTTTATTACTACAAATATTTCAGATTTAAAAATAATTCTGGATATAAATGTTAGTACATACTAACTTTATCTGTCATATACCTACCTCCTTTAACCCTTTCACTCCTGATTTGTTTATTTTAAAATTTGATATATTTGTCTGTAGTTTGTTGTTCTAGAGCATTTTAAAGAATGTATTTAAAAAATTTTATTTTTTATTTTTTTTTTGGTAAAAATGCATGGGATTATATATTACAACAGTATTTTTGTATAAGATATATAATCCCAACAATATAAGTAAACGATAAATGGTTATAGATGATATGGGGTAAAACATTCGCTACATAACGGAACATCACACATTTTACAAAGAAATTTTTTTTTCGGCCAGTACTGATAAGAATCTCAGCTAAGTCAACCAGATAATTTAGTATTTTCTTATTCTGGTATGTAACTCAGTATATAGAATATATGAATTGTATACTGCCATCATTAGAACTTTGTAGTAAACCTTCTTCCACCATTTTTGGGATTTTCTATTGAGATCGTACACAGATGTCATTTGATCACATCTATCTCCACCTCCCATGTAATGGTTATAGAATTCAATCGATACGCGACAAACGTTGGCAAATAACAAATTAGTTGGGTTTGTACCATCTTTCAGTTTTCTACACACAGTTGATTCTTTTGGCTTATAGCAGTTAGTACAATAAAATCTTTTGTGTCCTTCCATCGTATAGCTAATGTTCCAGTTTCATAACCTTTTACTTGCTATTCTCCTCGATTTATCTTGCAATGAAATTTGGGTAAATTTTTTCGGGTACTCATGCATGTACCGACAGCAGTAAACATAATTGTATCCATAAGATGAACTGTTGTAAAAAATCTGTCGAAGCAAATTACATTTTCATTAGACATTGTTGAAGATAACTGATTTAGGACACGTTCTCCCAAATTACCTGCCATCTTATTATCATTTTTGCCTGCATACACATTTATATCATTAACATAGCCAGTTTCCGAATCACATCTTGTTCATAACTTTATGCCACGTTTTATGGGTTTGCGGGGCATATACTGTTTTAATGTAGATTGCCCTTTGACTTTTGCCATAGACTCATCAATTGCTTGATAGATAGAATCACTTCTAGCTCTCATAAAACTTGTCTTAAAGCAGGAAATAACATCATCTATATAATAAGTTTTATTTGCTCTGGCAGGTTTATTGGGTTCGGCAAAATGCAATTTTGATAATAGTAGTTGTCACCTATCCCTTGATATTACACTACGAATATAATCGTTTCCAAGCGATTTATTATTAGACCAGTACATTGCGAAAGAAGGAACTCTATTATAATGCATAACGTAACACCAGTAAGTAGCATCATCTCTTAGCTCTTCTAAAATTTCAAGCCTACGGTTTGTACACTAGGCCATATAAATAAAAAAACTTTTAGGAAATACTTTTAGAAAACAGTCTAATGCAAAACTGCCTCGATTCTTACGTTTTAACCTCAAATATAAATTCACTATTTGGTTTTAGCTGTATATTAACACATTGTTAATGATAATGTCTTTAAGTATTTCTGTCAGTTTTCCTATAACAATGAAGGGTTTTATTCATATTAGATTGAGCAGAACAATAAATCATCATTAAATATCCAAAAAAGACTCAGGACGTATCACGAAATCAGAATTATTTACCCCTTAACAGATATATCGAAAGGGTCTTTTCATTGTTACGAAAGAAGTATGGACTATGATCGCACAACAGTATGCAATGCAACTAATAGCAATAAACTGAACAAATAAAATAAGAATCTATCAGTTTCCAAGTATAATTCATTGACCACATTTTCATCACCATTAACCGTTTTGAGCCGACTGCTGAACATAGACCCTCCGTAAATAATTCGATTGTATTTGATCTTGAGCGCCTTGAATCACGTTGTGCTGGATACGCTTGATATCGACTGACCACCTTGTTGTAGGACGTCTTCTATTACGCTAAGCATCGTGTCTAGGTCTTCATTCGAAAATTTTTTTGGTTTATCTTCCATCTCTGACTCTGCCAACATGTCTTGCCAGTGCCATTTCTGGGTTGTAATTATTTTAATTGCGTCCATAACACCAGTTTTTCTTCTATTTTATTTGAAACTCTGTCTCTAAGGGATATATTTAATATTTACCCTTCCATTGCTCCCTATGCTACTTGTATCTTATTGATTACTTTTCTGGTCAGTTAATGTTTCTGCTCCATATGTTAGTTAGTCCTATTCTCCTGTATAACTCTGTTGTTTGATTGTCTCTTGTCTTGTCTTCCTAATTTAATCTCGTGGCCTAGATACTTTTGTTCAATTTGCGTTCCATTAATTGATATGTTTTTGGCCAGAACAAAGGTTGGTTATGTGTTGTATTTTGGAAAAGTTAATTTTAAGGTCAACTCGTGTACAATAGCTCTGAAGATCTTGAGGAAGTTGGTAGGCATGATCTACCCGGTCTACAATAAGGACTATATCGTCTGCAAACCCCAAGTTGTTTAGAAACTCCCCATTTATGTTGACTCCAATATATTCCTAATTATTGTTTTTCATAGCACTCTGTAATAAAGCGGTGAATAGTTTAGGAAAAATGGTGTCTCCTTGCCTAATCCCCCTCTCCAATTCTCTGTAACCACATTTTCTCTTTCTTTTCTCTCATTAAATACATTTTAATCTAAATCAGACTCAGAAGAATATGTTTTCCCACAAATTGTCAAAACTGTTGTCACTTTTGCACCATCACCATTCTCTTTGATAACATGCTCGAAGAGTTGCTTCCAATTGTCTTCACTCACGTGAATACTCACGAATTATGGCACTTCAACGTCCATTTTGGATATAGTAGTTTTTCGGAGAACTTCCACCTTAACTTAAAATCAATTATATTGGAATAAGCTTACTATATTAAGAAGATATGGTAGTCCTTTTAAAATGCATTCTTGTGCTCCTTTGTAATATTGTGAAGATTTTTTCTTCTATGGTCTTCTGATCTTCACATCTTTACAAAATATTTTTTTCTCTCATGACTATACTTAGAAATTTAAAATTATGCATATTGTTAGGTTGGTTGTTATATAAGGAGTAAATCGTGAGTTGAAGTTTTATTGTAAGTTTCAAATTTTTTTTGTAAATTTATCAGATGTCAATGTTACCCACACTTTAAGAAAATATTGACACCCCATATTAACTACGTTATAAGAAAATATTTGGTAATGGTCAAGTAAAATGGACATACAATAAGTTAATTATGCACTGTTTTTGGTTCACAGCTCGTCAGCAACGGTAGGTAAAACAAAACATTTTTCTTTCTTTCTCAGGAAAGTCACCTTCGGAAATAATTTCTGTTACTCTTTCCATGTAATGATGGATTTCATTCCTACGCTTATCAACTGTAAATTTTACCAAAATTTAAGAGTTAATCATAATTTTGGTAGAATCATGCTTTTTCGTTTTTGTTACTGTATTGGGAATGTCATCTTCATCTTCCAACAGAGGCGCATCTAAGTCTGAATCCATTCGTAAACTTGCTTCGCTCTCAGAACTTAGTTTCATTTTTTATTGGTTTTTTTCAAACTTCTTGCATTGCTTTCTGAACGAATTCTTTCCAAAACCTCTGCGTTAGTAAGACATTTAGCAAATTTTCTTTGAACTTTATTCAGTTTCATTGTTTCTGATCTTTTTCAGAAAATTTTGAGTACCTCTTTCTTGTTGTAGATCTGAAGTGGACGTATGCGCAGACGACTTTTCACATTTTTGTAATATTTTCTCCTCATTTAAAAGATTAATACCTGACCGTATAAATCCGCCAATTGCATTTGCCTAGAGAAGCATTATATCTCGACCAATGTTTTAAGCAATGAGAGAAAAGTAATTTTGTCTACACTTTTACATCTCGTAGCACCATAATAATATTTTCTCTTTTAAACATTCCCACATCTAAGGGTTGCAAAGCATGAGATGTCTGGGCCGTCAAATACAAAAGCTCCATATTATGGGCACTGGCCATTTCGATCACTGGGACAGTCAAGTGTGAATTATGACCATCAAATAGAAGCTTGAGGCCTTCCAGACTTTTGCAGTTGGTTTAATTAAAACGTTTTCAAACCAATTGGCAAACTGAACTGATTATGTCTATCCCGATGGCGAACAGTTAAATATAATATCGTCAGGACCGTTTTTTGCACCAGTTAGAATACAAGTTAGGTTTACAACATCCTTTATAGTTTACAAATAAAGGTAAATACTCTCTTATTGCACTACAGCAAACGAGAACCATGTACGTTGATTTTGTAACAGTGCCTACAACTTTATGTGGAGTTTTAGATCCATTTCGGCATAAAAAATTTTGTATTCCAATGTCTGTTATATCTGTCTGTCTATTATAAAATGTCTATTATTAGTAATAGTTGAAATAAGGAATATTTTTTAGAAAGCATGGATAAATAGCAAAATAGTGCTTGCTCTCTGGATGTCTTCTGGATCTCTAGAGATGAAGGTGAAGGTTCCTCAGATCTATTTTTTGCCATTTCATACTTTACTTTGTTTCCAATTACTCTATATGTGCAATATGTTGGTTTGTCTATCAGAACTTCAAGATCTTGATCGCAAAGAAGGAATGGTGTATACCATACCTATTTTAAACAATCAGTATTTTAATATACGTTTATTGGTCAACATTTGTCTGCGCATCCAAAAAGGGAGTTCTTGGGTTTCTGCTAAAATTGTTTGGTTTTATGAGGACATTATAGCTCCTATATAAATTTTTATTAATTTAAATTACATTCTACCTAGTGTTAAAAGATTTGTTATGCACATTGTACCATAAAGATCGCAACAAAAATGTAGA